TCCCCTCAGGGCCTCCGTCCCCCAGCCCGGAGCCAGCAGTCTGGTTTCCGGCACGCGGGGGCTGGCAGCAGGGAAGGTCCCCCACACCGGGCCGGCTGGACAATGGCCACGGAGCCTCTGGCCAGCTCCCAGAAGGTGTCCCGTCCATCCGTAAGTGGGGCGAGGGCTCAGCCTCTCGGGGTGCAGAGATGCAGTTCAGAAGGCCCTCGGCAAACCCGGAAGCGTGGGGGGTCCAGGCCCAGCGTGTGTGCGGGGCGGGGCGGGCAGCCCAGCCAGACACGTGAGCAAGCAGGGGAGGGCAGAGGGCGGAAGGGGCAGGAGAGGGGAGACTTCACCTGAGGGGCTGGTGAAGCCGGGGTGAGGCTGAGGAGGCAGGAGGGAGCCCGTGCCCGGAGGGGGGCGGCGCAGGGGGCACCGGGGCTGAGCAGCGCTGGGCCGGGAGCCCTCACCCCTTTCTCACTGCGGCAGAGGAAGCGCCTGGGTCGAGGGCCCGGCCGGGAGGGAGCGAGGCTGCGGCCGGCGAGAGCAGGGACGGGGCCCAGGGACGGGGCAGTGGCCGGGCGGCCCTCGGCCCGCAGGGGCTTGTGAAAACAGGACTTGGGCAACAGGCTTCTGCCGCTTCCTCCCTCCGCGGCCCCCACTGCTTCCTCCCCGGCCGAGGGCGGGTTATTTTTATCCCAGGTTTCCAAAAGCAGAAAACCCCGCCGCCCCCCAGGTGATTTGCATCTGAACTTGAACGTCTGGGGCAGGGCGGGAGGCCGAGCAGCCGCGGGGAGGGCGGGCAGATTGGGGAGCTCCTGGGGGAGGTCCAAGCCCAGACCGCGCTCCACCGGGGGCTGCTGGCCTGGGCAGGCGCAGCACCTGGAGCTGGGCCAGGCCCACCGTGGGGGGTCCCTTGCTGGACCGGGGCCCTGGGCGGCTAGCAGCGGGACCAGGGACCAGGGACGCACTCCCCAGGCTCCCTGCTGTTCCTGTCCGTTCCCTCCACGCCCTGTCGTGCACCTGCCCTCCGCCTCCTTGCAAGTCCCTTTACGCACGGGTGACACCCACGCTCTGGCCACCCTGTTTCACGTGGGGGTCGCCCTGGAACGGGGGGGGGCGCCACCGTCTCCCCAGGCCCACACTGCCACCGGGCTGGGGGGGGTCCTGCCTTGCCGCCTCCCTGCCACCTGCGAGTCCTGCCTTGCCCAGCACGCCAGACCCAGCCCCTTGTCCTGGGCAGGGGCCCCCGCAGTCTGCCTCCCCAGAGAGACTGGGCAGGCTGAGGGGGGGTGAGGGGGAGGACAGGCTGGCCAGAGTCGGGGGACAGGGTGCCCCCTCCAGGAGACCCTGAACGGTGCTCCCACCCCGGCTCCCTGGTGGAGGACACAGCAAGGTCCCTTGTGGCTCCGGCCAGGGCTGGGCTTTGCTGGCATCCTGCTGCGGGGCCATGGGGGGCGGGGCGGCGGGGAGGCCCCAGAGTCTCTGCCCGCACCCAGGCTGGGCCCCCGCGGAAGCCACAGGCAGCGGGCGCCCTCAGGCGGCAAAAGAAGGCGCCACATCCGCGCGGGCCATGACTGCGGGACAGACTCGGGACCGGCCGGGCAGGGGGCCCGGGCGAGCAGGGCCGGGGAGGGGGGCTGTCTTCACTCTGAAGGCGGCGCCCCCCCCCCGCTCTGGGTGCGGGGTGGGGTCCACGTGCTGGGAGGGCCCCCCCCGCTCTGGGTGGGACATCTTTGTGGTTCCGGCTGCTGTGTTGTGGGGGGACAGCTTGGAAAGTGAGGTGCTCTCCACCAGTGCCCCCAGGGGGCTCAGGCCTGCGCTGTGGAGGCGGGAGGGTGGGCAGGCTGGGGGGGAGGGTAAGTGAATGCCAGGCTTTCCTGCCCTCCCGCCACGAGGACTGAAGCTGGACCCCGCGGCCCTGAACGCGCGCCTGAGGCGGCACCTGGAGTGGGGTGTGGGCATGAGTGAGTGGGCGCACCTGGGCTGAGACCCGCTTATGAGGGCGGCGTCCCGGGGACGCCAGCAGAGCGCAAGAGCAGAGCGCGAGAGAGACCAGAGCGGGAGAGCGAGGCCAGGAGAGAAGGCCGAGAGCCCCACCCGAAAGAGCAAAGACTTGGGGGGCTGGGGGGGCTGCCGGCCTCCGGCCCCACCCCCAGCACCCCTGCCCTCGTGCGCCACTGAGGGCCCCAGGACCCTCTCCTCCTCCAGCCGTCTGCTCGGTCCTGGAGATCTGCTCTGTGCTTCCCGCCGCTGCATGGGGCCTCTCCCAACACTCCCTCCCCTGCAGGACCAGGTCCGGACAAGACCCCCCAGGGGCTCCGGGCGCCCTGCTCAAGTGAGGCTGAGGAGCAGCCCCCCTGCCCGGAGCACACGTCACACGTGCGCTCGTGCCCTGAGAGCACAGCCCGGCGGGGTCACAGGCACGGGTGCGGCCCATGCCAGGTACGACGGAGTGCTCCCAGGGCCTCTGGGCCCCCAGGACCTCAGATCCCCCTGGGTCCCCCAGGACAGCGGTCTCCCCCTGCTGGGCCCCCCAGGGCCACAGATCCCTGTCAGGCCCCCACCCCCGGGCCTGGGGACACCCACTGGACCCCCCTGGGGCTATGAACCCCCGCAGGCCTTGATGGGGCTAGGGGTGGTCACTTTGGTTTTCCTATAGACTGGGGCTGTGCTCCCTCAAAGAGCGGGGGGCGGGGGGCTCCCTGGTGACAGTCTCAGGTGTCGCTGCTGCAGCCTGAGCAAGTGTGATCCCCGGCCAGGGAGTGACCCACAGGGCGCAGCAGACCCCTCCCGTCTCCCCGCCGCTCCCCTCAGGGGTGTATGTCAGTGGATCTGCCTGTTCTCCCCACTCTGTCTCTGGGGGAGTCCTCTCATCCCTCAAACCTCTGCCCTGCACCCCAGTTTTTATACACATAAATAAAAATAAATATTAAAAAACCCCATAAAGCGGGGAGCCATGCCAGCTAGCAAGGTGCTGCTCATTTTTGTGCACTTGGATCACAGTCCTTCTCCAGACACGTCTCCTGCAGATGTCGTCTCCCAGCCCGTGGCTTCTTGCTCAGTTTCTGGGCAGCGCCCTGCAGAGGAGGAAATCTTGGGAAATCTCAGTTCTCAAGAATCCCAGGGCATCTCCCCTTCCTCCCGGGCGCACGCCCTAGGTGTCACATCTAAACGGTCTTCCCCAAGCCCGGCGTCACCCAGGCCTCCTCCCGGGCGTCTCAGGGAGGTGTGGGTGAGGCTTGGTCTGGGTCTGAGGCCCACCCTCAGTTGTTCTGGGGGGTGCAGGCCTGTGCCCCATTTGCTGGGGACGCCCATTTTGGGGAAAGACCATCTTAGGGCGGGTGAGGACGCTCCAGCCTCTGCGGCCTTCACCTGCGGCCTGGAATGCAGGAGGCGCGGGGGAGCTGGGCTCGCGGCCTGGCGCACCTGGGGACTGGTGTGGGCGTGTGTGGGTGGCACACCTGGGGCTGAGGCTGAGCTGTCAGGGCGTCAGAGGACAGGATGGCAGGGGACGCAGCAGTTGAACAGCTGCGAGGGGGAGAAACCACGAGAGGATGCCAGAGCGAGCGGAGGGTGAAGATTCGCCTGCCAGCCTCTCAGCGCCCTGCCCTCCCTGCACCTGGGTGCCACTACAAATGGTGCAGAAAGATCATTGAAAGCCACTGAGGGGTCCTCCCTGGTGGTGCAGGGGTTCAGCACAGCGCTGTGAAGCTACCCCAGCCTCTGCAGCACGAGTTCCATCCCGGGCCGGCCAGGGAGCTGCCCACAGGGCGCGGCAGACCCTCAGCAGCGGATCCCAGGAGACCTGCCTGCTCTGCTCCCCGCTCTGCCCCTGGGGAGTCCTCTCTCCCCACACTTCTGGCCTGCACCCCGGCTCTTGTGCGCATAAATAAGTAAATCTTTAAATAAAGGCGCGGATCCCGCTTTCCCCGGCTGCCCAGGTCCACAGAGAACCGCCCTGAGCTTCCCGCCCGCCCGCGCGGGGCCCCTGCTGGCCACAGGCCCGGGCGCGCGCTCTCTGACCACTGCCCGCGCCCGCGGGGTCTGTCTGTCCACGGCAGGGCGAATGCGCCCCGCGGGCGCTGGAGGGCGGCGCCCCCTGGGGCTCCTGCGGCTGCGGGTCTTGCGCGTGTCCTCCTGCGGGGAGCCTCGGGCTCACGGCCGCGGGCAGGCGCGGGCAGGCGCGGGCAGGCGCGGGCAGGCGCGGGGCAGGCGCGGGCAGGCGCGGGGCAGGCGCGGGGCAGGCGCGGGGCAGGCGCGGGCAGGCGCGGGGCAGGCGCGGGGCAGGCGCGGGCAGGCGCGGGGCAGGCGCGGGCAGGCGCGGGGCAGGCGCGGGCAGGCGCGGGGCAGGCGAGGCGCGCGGGCGTTGGCGCGGCCGGGTGGCGGGGGGAGGTCGCCGCCTCCGGGGGCCGCCGGGGCGCCCAGGCCCGCACCCCGCCTGCCGCTCCGCGCCCGCCGCCGCCGAGCCTTGCGGGTCCTCGCAAGGGGAGGCCGGGCTCGGGTCCGGGTCCCTGCGCCTCGGCCGCCCCTGCCCGCCACGAAGCGTGCGGGGGGGAGCCGGGCCCAGCCCCCGCGGGCCGGACCTGGCGCGTCTGCCCCGCCCGCGCCCCGCGCCCCGCGCCCGCGCCCCGAGGCCGGTCGAGGCCGTGGGCGGACGGGGCGCTGCTCCGGCCCCGCCCCTTCCAACAGGGCGCACCCCCGGGACTCGCCGCCGGCCCCGGGGTTCCCGCCCCCCGCGCCCCGAAGGCGCAGGGCGGCGCACGCGAGCACCCCGGCCGCCCCTTCCACCCGCCCGGCCGCGGCGCGCGCTGCGGCCCCGGCTGCCGGCCACGAGGGGGAGGCCTTGCGCCGAGCGCCCGTCCGCACCTGCCGGGGCGTGGCCAGGACGCGCGGCCCCGCCCCGCCCCGCCCGCCCCGCCCCGCCCGGCCCGGGCGCCTGCGCAGTCGGGCGCGGGGCGGCGCGCGGAACTCTCGCGCGGCGGCGCGTGTTTCCCGCGGGCCGGCCGGGCGGACGCCGCATGGGCAAGGTGCGGGGGCTGCGGGCGCGCGTGCACCCGGCGGCCGTGAGGCCCGCGGGCCCGGCCGCGCCCCCGGCCCGGGAGGCGGCGCTGCCCCCGGCCGCGGCCGGCGGGGCCGGGGCGCAGGTAAGCGGGCCGGGGTGCGGGGGTGCGGGCGGCGCGGGGCGGGCGGCGCGGCCGGGACCCGGGGCCGCCGCGCCTGCCGGGCCGGCTGTTCGCGCGCTCAGGCCGCGGGAGCCCCCGCGCGGGCCGCCCGGAGCCGGAGACTCGCAGCCGGCGGGCGCGGAGGCCGCTCCTGCCCCCGGGGCCGCTCCGGAGCGAGGAGCCCGCGCGGGGCCCCGGCCTGGGCTGGCGGGGGGCGCGGGGCCCGGGGCGAGGCGCGGGCGCGGGGCTGGGGAACGGGGCGCAGGGGCGCCGCGGGGCCTGGGGGTCACCGCCTCGGCGCTGCCCTGGGGCCAGGCTGCCCGGCGCGGCCGCCTCACGGCTCCTCTGCCCCGCAGGCCCGGGCGCCCGAGCCCACCGGCATCTTCGCCGGGACCCAGATCGAGCCCGGCGCCCTGGTGCAGCGGCTGGACCTGGACTCGCAGAGCGTCGCTTCCCTCGGGACAGGTACTGCCCGGGGCAGCCCGCAGCCGCACCCCACCGCCCTGCCGGCTTCGGGGTGATTTCTGTTCAGGGCGAATTTTGAGCCAGCCTGTTCTTTCCTGGAGGTTCTCTTCCAGAAGAACTTAGAGACCTGTAACCTGGGAAGGGCAGGGCGAGCCTCCCTGGGCAGCCCTCTGCCGCCTGCTGCGCCTGCAGGGCGTGGGGCGCCCGCGTGCTGTGCGAGGAGTAGGGAGGCCGCCTCGCGCCGTCTCCGGGGGTGTTCCTCTGACCACGGGGCTAGGGTCTCGCACCCTCTCTGTGCCGGGCCCTCTGGTGAGTGGCAGGTGCACCCCTGTCGGGCACGGCGCCCCTTGCAGTGTCGAGCGAGGTGTGCGTTGGTGCTGGTCTCTCACCACCCCCACTCCTGCCCCCCACATGCTCGGCCCCCACCCCACCAGGGTGTCGGGTGCCAGCCCAGCTGTGAGTGCTCCTCAGGCTGTGGGTGACGGCTGGGAGGTTTTGATTTTCATCTCGCAGCAGGGCAGGGAGACCACCGGGCCTCCCCCACCCTCCGGGTGCCTTTCCAGGGCCCAGCGCAGAGCAGCAGGTGAGCGGGAGTGCTCTGAGCGCTCAGCAGGGCCTCCGCACTAGCCATCTGGGGGTGAGTCCGTGCGCCCCCACTCCTCTGAGGTCTGCTTTTGGTCAGGAGGGGGGCCAGGAAGGCTTCTCCGTCTGCTCACTGGTGCGCTGCCAGGCTGTCCGGACTTTCTGCGCGGAGCTGTGTCCTGGACGCAGGGGCCTGTGTGCCGGGGTGTTGAGACGCCTTCCAGACCCAGTGGGCTTTGTGTGGTGCAGGCCCCGCCCTTCTCCAGCGCTGCCGCCTGCCCTGAGGCCTGTGGGCCCAGTTGGAAGGGGGGGTCGCTGAAAACCTCTAGAGGGGAGAAGAAGGGGCTCAGTTTCCTTCCCTTCTGAGATGCTTGTCTGCAAGGACTGGAGATGCTCAGGGGAAGCCCCGGGGTGCCCCGTGCTGCTCCGGAGACCTGAGGTGCTTGTGGGCTGGTCCAGGGGCATCTCCTGTGGGGAGGAGCGTCCTCAGGCGTCAGAATGCCCTACAGCAGGAGACGGGCGTGTCTGCAGAGGCGGCCTGGGTTGGGGAGCAGAGCAGATCCTGGCCTGGTCGCCCTGGCCTGCGTTACGTCTTACCTGTGACGCCTGTTTGGGCTCTGGGTGAGGGGTGGCCGTGGAAGGTGTCACACAGTGACGTGGACGGGACCAAGGGGTGAGCGAGGCCCCTGGTGGCCCGAGGGGTCCAGGTGCCCCCGAGCTCCGGGCTCACCTGGCCACTTGGGCCCCTCTGTGTTCTGGCCTCATTAGTGCTGCCTTCTGGGGGCACGCGGCACCTGCTGACCAGCTGCTGCTCAGAGGCCGCCGGGCAGGGAGAGCACGGCTACCTGGAGCTGCCTGGCCACGGCGCCCTGGGAAGGCTGCTGCCTGGGGGAACAGGGGAGGGGCGTGGGGGGGCACCGCAGCAGGGCCTCTCTCTGCACCTCTGCTCCTGCTGGCGTCCCTGCTGGCGTTCTTGCTGGGACGTCAGGGCCAGTTGGGCACTGTGGTGCTTGCTGGTGGCATCTTCCCTGAGTGGAATGCACTCCGCTTGTTCCCAGGCGGGTGGGGGGGGCTGCAGAGCTTGGGGCGCGGCTGGCCCAGGAGCACCCCTGCCAGTCCTGTCGCTCCGGTTCTTGTGGGCAGCGGCTGGAAGTCAGCCCGCGCTGTCCTCTGGTGTGCGGCCTGGGCTGGGCAGCATGTCCCCCCGGACTCGGCCCTGGGAGGAGGCCAGGCTGCAGGGACACAGGGTGCCGCCTCCTCTCCCTGCTGAGACCCCGCAGAGAGGCGCTGCCTGAGCCGCCCGAGCCGGGGCTGGCCCCCAGCTGCAGTGCAGGTGCGGCCGTGCCCAGCAGGGGGCGGCAGAGCCTGGAGCAGGGGCTGGCTGGCCTTGGGCCTCTCCACCCTCTGCCGCCCGGAGGCAGGGCTCACTTTCCTTCTGCGTCTGCACCCCAGGTCTCAGAGCAACTTGGGGAGCGAAGGTGGCGAGGTGGGTCTGGGTCAGGGCTGTGGGGGAGCTGGTGTCCTGTGCAGCTGGAGCCTCAGGACAGAGGGGGTGCTTCTGGGTCCGCCCTCAGATTCGGGGATGGTGGATGAAGCTGGGGGTGCGCAGCCCTCGGGGCTCCCTGCTGCTGCTCTCTCTCTGCACGAGTCTGAGAGTTCCCGGAAGAGCAGCTGCCTGTTGCATTGGGCCGGGAGGGTCTGGGCGGGGCCGGGCCGGGGGAGGATGGGCCCCCAGACCCCCAGCCACTGCAGACCTGCCTGCCTCCTGTGAGGCTGTGGCTTTGGGGCAGAGCAGGTCTTGGGTGGGGCTTCAGAGCTCTCCAGGGGCCCTGGCCTGCGGACACCTCTCACCCGTGTCTCTCGTCCCTCGTCCCCAGGTGCAGAGCCCAAGGCCGTGCTGCCCAAGAAGGAGAGGCTGAGGCTGAGGCGCGCCAGCTGGCTGCAGAGTAAGTCGGCCCATGGAGGCCTCTGGGGCCCTTGTGCGTGGGTGTGTGGGGGCGACGGGGTGGGCAGGCTGTCTCTGGCCAGCAGGTCGCGGCTCCAGTGGGGTCTGGGGGTGCCTCGCCGTGGCCCCCCTAGGCCTGCGGCCTACAGGGTTAACTCGGGATCGCTGCTTTGCGTGCTCAGCTAAAGCGCGGTCTGTGATGATTGTTTTCTTGGAAGGCGTGAAGCGTGTGGTTCACGTTGTTCATGGAAACTTGCTGTTTTCTTCCCCAGTTATTAGTTTCTTGCCTTCTGTTACGTTTGGGTGGTCCCTGAGGGGGTGTTGTTTCTCCTGTGGGGACTGCATGGAAAGGACCTGGGGTGTTGATGCCACCTTAAGCCAGAAGCACGGGGTGCCAGTCCTCGGCGAGGCCGGCCTAGAGCGCCAGCTGGCCCTCCTGGGGGTGTGGGGTGGGAGAGGCGGGTCACAGGCCACACTTGGAGGCCAGCGCTTCTTCACAAGAACCCAGAGCAGCTGGACGAGGAAGGGAGAGTCTTTGTAAAGCAGCAGCACCAGGACGCCCGAGTGTCTGGACCCCAGCCTAGCTCTGCTCCGCGACTTGGAGTCGGGCAGGGTTTTCTTTTTCTTTCTTTCTTTTTTTTTTTAAGATTATTTATTTGTTGTACAAGAGCTGGGCACAGGCCAGAGGCACCAGAGGGCGAGAGGATGAGCCAGAGCCAGAGCGGGGAGCAGAACAGGCAGACTGATGAAATACACTGCTGGGGGAGCAGCGGGGAGACAGGAGAGGTCTGCTGCGCCCTGTGGGTCGCTCCCTGGCTGGCCGGGTATCGAACCCGCGCTGCAGAGGCTGTGGACAGCTTCACAGGCTGTGCTCAACCTGCTGCGCCACTGGGGAGGTCCAGGGTAGAGTTTTCTTAAGCAAAACAGGCTGCATCACCCACCTGGCCCCTCAGACTCAGAGCAAAGGTCTGGGAGACACGTTGGTGTCGCTGGTAGGACCCGCTCGTCAGGTGGGTCTCCGGGGTTAAGAGCCGGAAGGGCCAGGCCAGGAGGAAGCGCTCATAGGCCGGGCGGCGGCCAGGTGACCCGGGGTGCCGTGGGGATAGCCGCGCCCCGGCCCACTGCAGAGAATAGGGCTGCAGGAGGGTCTGACCCCGAGGGGCCGGGGTGGTGCTGGTGGGCTCCTTCCTGCTGTGCTTTCTCCGGGGGTGGCGGTGGCCTTGCCTCCCCGTGCCGACGCGGCCAGAGGCTGGCTGCTTAGGGCCCAGCGAGCCCGGTGCCCGCACAGGGCAGAGGGCGTCCTGGCCAGCTCGGCAGCGTCTATTTCTCTCTGAGGACCCTGGGGCGGGGCAAATGGACATGGGACCTGCACGGTCAGCCTCGGCCAGGCCTGCACATGGCCAGCAGCCGGCACAGGTCACGCGTCTGAGCTCGTGTTGTGTGGGCAGCTTCAAGATGTTTCTAAGTGAAATTCCAACCCCAAGGCCGAGCCCCTCGGGGCCCATCTGGCACAGCAGCCGCGGCCCTGGACAGCCACCGCCTTGTCTCTGCGCCCCACTTTGCTCTGCACCCCTCCCGGGGCTCTGCCCTGGCCGCGCTGCCCCCGCCCCACCACCAGGCTAGCCGCCTCCGAGAGCCCCCTTTGGGCTGCTGCCCGCCTGGCCGCGCCCCCTGCTGTTTGCGCCCCGAGGCACCACACACAGGAGGAGCGGCTGCCCGGCCCCCAGGGACCGCTCTGGGTCTGACTCCCCCGCCCCTCCCTCCACCCACGGGCGCCTCCAGCCTGGTCCTTGCTCTAGAGAAGCCTCCCGCTTGCAGCCTGCAGCGCCTCTGTGATTACGGGGAGAGAGTAGCTCCAGCCTCCCCTCCCCCCAGCTTCCAGGGAGGAGTGTTGGGGGCGGCAGGGGGCCTTGCTGGGCTCACGTGCCACCTTCCCCAGAGATCCAGGCCCTGGAGCTGGCCCAGCAGGCGCACCGGGCTGAGCAGCGGCGCAGAGCCACGGCCGTGGTGGGCGACCTGCAGCCCCTGAGGGACGCCCTCCCCGAGCTGCTGCAGCTGGAGGCCGGCGGCCGGCGGCAGCGCACCCGAGGGTGAGTGGCCAGCGGCGTGGAGGGCGGCTCAGGCCGGGGCGGGCTGCACGCGGCTGTCCTGACCCGACTCCCACCGTCCCACCCCCGACCACACCTCCGGTGGTCTCCCCGGGCCGGGTGGTCTCTGGGGGGCTGGTGCACGGGGCCCGGCTGTGGGTCCAGCTCCCCGGGGCAGAGGCAGGCCCGCCGAGGGCCCTGGTCACTGCTGGGGGACCTGCGCCTTCCTGGGGGACCTGCTTTGCCTGTGCGGCCGCCGGGGCAGGCGCTGGCGGCCTGTTGGGGACGCTGGGCTGAGCGCGGGAGGGGCCTGGCGGGGGGCGCTCGAGCACGTGGTCCAGACCGGGAGCCCCGGCCTGCGGAGCAGATTCCATTCCTGGTGCTTGCACAAAAATGTGACCCCGCTCTGGGGTCTCCTGCGTGAAGTTTTCTCATCTGAAAAATGTGCTCCAGCTCCGGGCAGCGGGGGGGTCGGGATAATCCCCGGCCAGCAGGCCCCAGAGGAATGCGGGGCCCCTGCCTGGCTGCCGGCTCCCCGGGTGTGTGGTTGCCTGTGCGGGCCCTTCCCAGCTGTCCCGGCCCCGAGCCTCTGGCCGTCCGCTCCGGCGGGGCGCGGGGGCGTGAATGGATGTTACTTCCTAACGGTAGCTGCTTTGCAGACAAAAAGGGTATCTGGCCCCCACACCAGCCCCCAGCCCCAGGCCGGCAGCAGCGGGTCGGCTGTGTCCCCAGGCCCGCCGGCTGCACTGGGAGCCCCGAGCCCGTGTGTGGGGAGGCCCCGGTCTCCCCGGGCCCCGTCGGGATCTTCTGGTCAGTCCCCCGCGGCCCCTCTCGCTGGGACAGTTTCTCACCCCCCGGCCTCTGACGGGCGGGCTGGAGGGTCCCCCCACCGTGTCCTCCCCTGCCCACCGTCCTCTGGGGCAGGGTCTCTGGCCAGGGCCTGCTCGTCCGTTGCGGATGGACACACAGGCCTGGAGAGGCCCGTCACCCTGGCTCGTGGTGAGGGGGTGAATTAGATCAACCCACAGCAGAGGCCCGGGGCGGGGCCTGGGTGGAGAGGCGGGTTGAGGTCTGTCCGAGGCAGAGTGGGGGGGGAGCCCCGGGTCTGAGCCCCGGGCAGGCCCGCACGGAGTGGGCGCCATGGCCAACCGCAGAGCCAGCCCACCGGAGGCTACGCGGCAGCCGCGCTTGTCCGTGAAGAGGCGCCCTAGGCAGCCGGTCCTCGGTGGCCAGGACCCTCGGGCAGCCCAGTGTCAGGTCCGCTGTGCGGGACGTGGCTGCCCCGGCCCCTGACCGGGCGCCCTTGGCCTGGGCTGACTGGACTGGATAGCGTGGACGTGCCCGGAGGAACTGGGCACCCCTCACAGGACAGATCCCTAGGCCCAAGCTGGCCACCCCTAGGCCCCGGCCTGGCGTGTCAGAGACGGGGCGGCTGCTGGGGGGGAGGGGCCGCTGTCGTGGTTTGAAAGTGGGTAAAGGTAAAGATGGGGCCTCTGGCGGGAGGCGCAGTCGAGGTGTTGGGCCTCGGCCTGTCCCTGCCCTGTCCGGGATCCCCTGCCGGCTCCGAGCAGCCTCCCTGCCACTGACCCGCCTCTCTGCCCGCAGCGCCAGAGCCAGCGCCAAGCCTCGGCCCACCGAGCTGAGCCGCATGAGCGCCGCACAGCGGCTGCAGCTCCTGTGAGTATCCCCCGCCTCTGGTGGTGGCCGTGTCCCAGCCGTCTGCACTGTGGGGGCTGCTGCGTGGGGCCTGCTCTGGGCACAGCCCGTTTCCGGGGGTCAGGAGGCCCCGACCCCCACCCCAGGACGTGAGGGAGCAGCCTCTGCCAGAATAGAGAGTGCTTTAGTGCTTGGGCGCTGCCCTTGGGCCCGGCCCTGGCACTCGGTGATCCAGGGGACTTGAGGGTCTCCCTGTTGCAGTCAAGAAGCCGGAGCCCTCCCACCACCCCCGGCTTGTCCCGGAGCCCCCTCCCTGGTTCCTGCCATACTCTTTCCTGCCCACATCCACCGTCCTGCCCCCAGCATGCCCCTCGTCACAGCGCAACCATGTCTGCCCTGCCCCGGGCCCAGCGGCCACAGAGCAGCAGTCCCCGGGGCCTGGGCTCACACCCCGCTGTGGCCAGCCCCGCCACTCCCCCCTCCTCCACAGCAGTGGTGCCCGTCAAGGTCACCTGCTTCTGGGGCCCGGGGGCAGCCCTGTTGTGAGTACCACCGTGAACTTGGCTGCTCCAGGCCCTGTGTGACCAGAGGAGCCACTGCCCAGCCCAGGCATGACCTGGCTAGACCTTCACCAGTGTCCCGTGGGACCCACACCCTGCTCCTCGCTGTAGTGACTCCTTGGCCCCCGGGCCTGGCCCGCCTGCTGGGTGTCCAGGCTGCGTGGGGTGAGCAAGGCAGGGCCTGCTGGCCTGTGCCCTCCCCAGCCCCGGGCGTGCTAACTCTGACTCGGCTCTTGCAGCGAGGAAGAAACGACGCGTTTTCAGGAGCTACTGGCCAGTCCCACCTACAGAGCCAGCCCCCTACTGGCCATCGGAGAGCAGCTGGCCCAGCAGCTGCAGCTGGACAACCCCCAGCTCTGACTGGACTGGGGCGGCTCCGTGGGCCCCGAGGACGACACGCTTGGGGCCCCTGTGTCGCCGCTGCAGCGAGGCCGCGGGCTGTGCTGCGCCAGAGTGACGGTGCCACGGCGCTCCCTCCCTGCTGCCAGCCGTGCGGCCTCCAGGCTCCTGCGTGGCCTGGGCTCAGCTGAAGCCACACCCTTGCCCAGCGGGTGTACTCACAGGGCTGTCGTGGGGGGCTGCCCCATTCCACCCTCCACCCCCTTGTCCCAGCAGCTCCCCTATGCCCCGCTGTTGCTCCCTGGCTGTCCCCTGCGCACCCGGGAGCGGGGCTGCTGCTGGCCGCTCCAGCCGGGGCCTGCAGAAGCCTCACCCGTGGAGGGGCCCCAGCAGCAGCAGCTCCAGCCCGGGGGGCGCCCCGTACTGCGGGCCGAGGCAGGAGGCTGCCGCCCGGGCCTCCCAGATGCAGTGCCGGCCAGCGCACCTGCCTCGGCCTTGGGCGGGACTCGGCCTCCGCTAGGTCCGGGTCCTGGGCGAGAACCTCTGGCGTCCACCCACGGGGCCTCGTCCGGGAGCAGGGCGTGGTCGGCACGGTGCTGTGCTCCACGGCGCCTTCAGCGCGGCCCCGGCGAGGGGGCTGTGAATAAAGACCTATTTTTGCAGTGAGGTGAGAGTTGGGGTCGGGGCGGGCTGTGGGGCGTGGCGCCGGCCCCGGCGGGGATGACCCTGGCACGCGTGGGCTGGTCCTCAGGGCTGCGCTGACCGCCGGGGCGGGGACACCCGCCCGTTCCCCCAAGCCCTGCTCAGGCTTCTGACCTCTGCCGGGGCGCCCGGGCCCCTGCGGCCGGCAGGGTGGGGGCAGAAGGGCCTTGTCCCCCGGGTGGCTGCCGGCTCTTGCCCAGCCTCCGGGGGGACCCAGCAGAGCTGGCAGCTGCCCAGGCGGTGCTGGAGGGAAGCGGGGAGCCGCTGCCCAGAGGGCCACTGGCAGGACGCGCCGGCTCTAAGCCAGCCCCTGTGGCCCGGCGCCAGGCCCGCGGGTGTGGTGCGGGCAAGGGGCATCCCCGCCTGGAGGGGGTCTCGGGCGGTGGGGGCCGCAGCTGCCGCCTGAGCCTGCCCCCGGCGGCCCTGCCCGGGCTCTTGGGTCCTTTCCCGGTAACGGCCGCGCCATGGTGGGTGCAGCAGGAGGAGCCGGCGGGCCCGGGCAGGCCCAGACAGGCCTGGCGGGGCTGTGGCCACACAGTGGCTGGGGGCCGAGGTCAGGGTCGCAGCGGACGGCCCTCCTTGCCCACGGCCCCGCGCAGTCTGCCCTTGCGGGCCGGGGGCGGGGCAGCGGCGGCGGGCGGGTGGGCACTAGGACATTCCTCTGCGGCTGATGGCACCGCCGCCCTGCTGCCAGGCTGTCGGTGGAGACGACGCAGCCTTCCGGGCTTCGCCCCGTGCTGCCCCGCCCTGGCGTGGAGAGCGCCCCGCGCCTGGGTGCGGGATGGCCGTCGTGGCCTCGGGACCCGGTGTGGGGCACCAGGGGGCAGTGCTGGGCAGGCAGGCGCTGCCCCAGCGAGACATCCCCTCTGCCCAGGGACACAGCCCGGCCCCAGCCTGCCCTCGGGCATAATGGGGTGTCTCCATTGCGCCTCAGCCAGCCCAGGATCGCAGGACTGAGACGCGAGACCGAGCGCGGGCTCCAAAGGGGCCGGGCAGCCGGCCAGTCTCTGCCCCAAGCCCACCCTGTCCCCAAGGCCCCTGCAGCCACTGCCCCAGGTGGGCAGGGGTGGCCCAGATCACGAAGGGCCGCCAGGCTCCCGTGGGACACCTGGGGGGAGGCCGAGCAGGCCCCCAGAGCGGTGGCCCGAAAAGTAAAGGCCGCTTGTGACGGGCCTGCAGGGGAGGGTGGCTGTGAGGAGGGGACTGAGGGCAGGGCTCCTGGCAGGAGTGGGGGGCTGCCTGGAGGCCAAGGAGCTGACCCCCAACATCAACCCAGCTGACTGGACACCTCTGGTGCCCAGGCAGGGTGTTGCTGCCTCCCAGGAGCGCAGGCAGCATCCCAGCAGGGCTCAAGGGAGGGGTTCTAGGAGCTGAGGCCGAGGGAGGGAGCTGGGCAGCAGGCCCTGGAGGGAAGATGGGAGCCGGAGGCTAGAGGAGGCCTCCCTGGCAGCCCATCCGGCTCCTCTTCAGTGTTGCCCTTGCAGGCAGGAGGCAGTAAGAGATCACTTGAGCTGCGCTCAGCTGGGGGGTGCGAGAAAGGCCAGCTCGGGGAGCAGCAGAGAGAACGCGGCTGCTGGGCAGACAGGCCACAGCGGGCCTCCAGCACCAGCGCCTGCATGGCTGCCGCGCCCGCCCCGCCCCTGCCCCTGCCCCGCGCCAGGCAGTCAAGGGCCTGGCTGCCCAGGGCCTTTCATCTGCTGGTGATTTGGGGAGGGGGTGGGGGTTCTTCGGGCCCCCTCATCCAGGGCTGGTGCCCAAGAGTGTTCACAGCCATGCGGGGCCGTGTAGGACCCCTCCTCTGCCCCATCCGGGGAGCTGGCTGCAGACAGAATCCCCCAAGCGCAGGGTCCCCCAACACCGAAGGAAACAACTTGAAACTACTCTTGCTGGGTGTGGCCGGCGCCCCCACGGGAGCAGGCTTGGAGCCCAGCTCGAGGCCCGGGAGCGGCCATCAGGCGCCCTCAGGCAGGCCTGGCTCGCAGGGACATGTGGGGCCTGCACTGCCCTTCAGGGGCTCACTCCGTGTACCCGAGTCCAGAGGCAGGGTGGTGCCCCCCGCCCCCCCGCTGTCGGCTCAGAGACACCTGCCCGCCCGTGAGGGGCCTGAACCGAGGGGTGTGGGCTCCGTCTGGCGCCCAGCCCCCTTGCTGGTGCTGAGGGCCTGGGCGGGTGAGGGGCCTGACGTCCAGGCACGATCTTGTGCCTAGTGGCCATCTCGGCCCTGCAGCCCCGTCGGTCGGCCCGGCCTGGTGGCCGGGGCGGGCAGGGGGCCGGGCGCTGGGCCTGACTCGTAGGCCGTCAGCAATCTCCAGCTTGCTCCGTGGATCCTCAGGTGTCTGGCATCTCTACACGGCGCGTGGGGGGCTGGGGTGCGTGTGCCGCGGGCCCCCCGCAAAGTGGCCTCCGCCCCGACTCGGCCCAGGCCCAGGGCTGGGAGGGCAATGACCAGCGCCGCGTGCCAGGGAGGGGCCCCTCTGTACTGGGTGCCCAGGGACCTCTCCCGCCTGCCTGCGGGGGGCGCCGGTGCCCTGCAGAGCCTGCCCCTCAGACGGTGCCGAGACAAACACCCTGCGGAAGCGGCAGGAACAGCCTGTGTCCTGGCGGGGCGCCATGCCTGGGAGTGGCCGGCACCGAGTCAGGGAGAATGCCCCCTCGAGCGGAGGCCGTCCCCCAGACCGCTGGGCTCTGCCCGCTGGGCAGGGGGCCGACGGGCGAGATGACAGTGGAGACAGACGGGCCTGGCCCGGGCCAGGCAGGGCTGTAGGCTCCGGGGACGGCCCAGCTGGCCAGGGCCCAAGGCCAGTGGCAGACTCTGTCCCCACACCGGCTTGTTGGGGGTCTCTGCCTCCGTCATCCCTCCTAGCCCAGGCACCGCTGCGGGTGAGGGCCCGTGCCCCCAGGGGTGCCCCCGCTGCCTCCCAGCACCAGCCCTGGCAGGACGCGTCTCCGCAGACACCTAGTCCCTGGGGAGTGTCCCAGGGGGCCTGCAGCCCGGGGCGGGGATTCAGGGCCTGACCGGCCCCACCACACTGGCCACGAGGAGAGACCCTGTCCAGTCCCCTCCACCCGCCCGACTGATGGCTTGGGGGCAGGGGCCCAGGTGTCCTCGTGTGGGGAGAGACTCCAGGTGGGGCTGGTCCCTGGGGCTGCACCGTGGCTCTGGGGGTCCTGCCCGGCCGCCCTGCCAGCTGCTGGGGGGGCCCCTGCCAGCCCCTGGACTGGAAGCAGCTGGTGCGGGGGCCCCGTGGGCTGCCGCTTCTGAGGCACCTTTTATTTATTTATTTTTTTAAGAGCAGGAGCACGGGCCGAGTATCACACAGCAATTTATTTATTTTTAAAGATTTATTTTTCATTTATACAAGAGCTGGGGTACAGGCCAGAGGTGTGGGGGTGAGAGGACTCCCCAGAGACAGAGCAGGGAGCAGAACAGGTGGATCCACTGAAACCCACTGCTGAGGGGAGAGCGGGGAGACAGGAGAGGTCTGCGCGCCGTGTGGGATTGTCCCTGGCCCGGGATCGAACCCGCGCTGCAGAGGCTGTGGCCAGCTTCACAGCGCAGTGCTCAAGCCCCCGGAAGGCCCGGTACCTTTTATTTTTAGTTTGCCTCAGCGAGATGTGGGGGAGGGGCGGGGGGTGTCAGGGCCGGCCCAACTCGGGCATCTGCTCCAGTGTCTGCAGCCCTGGGGACGGACGGGGTGGCCTCGAGAGACCTCCTGGGCCGGCACAGGCAGGGGCATTTACCCACCTCCTGATTGCCCGGCCCTGAGCACCGGCCCTGAGGGGGCCGCAGGGAGGGTCCTCAGATTCCCCACACCCCACACCCCACTCCCCGTGCAGGGCGGGCCTATCCGGGCAGCCTCTCTCCCCGGCCGGGACCCAGGGCCAGTCTGGGGTCTGCGGGGAGGCGTGGGGGCCACCAGGCCCGGGATGCTCGGGGGCGGGGGCTGCGAGGCCACAGAGCCAGCTCTGGCTGGGGCCCTGGGGCTTGGGCGAGGCCCCTGGCCTCTGGGCTCCCCAAGCTGCCTGGAGAGAGGGAGGCCTGCTGCCCGGGCCGTGGGGCCCAGTGAACCCCGGGTGGGCCTGGCTCTGGGTGGACAGCAGGCAGCTCCCGGCCGCAGCCTCTGGGCTGCAGGGCCCTGTTTCCCAGGCCCCGCTGCCCGTGATTCGCCCCCTCCCTGGAGGCTGGTTTGCCTGCATGTCTCCTGTGCACGCCTGGGAATCTGGAAATTTCCAGAAGGAAAGACTCTGGAGCCGCCCAGCGTCATGCACTTCCTGAGCTGGCCGAGGCGTCCTGTGGTAGGCTCTGGCCTCTCTCGACAGATCCTGTCA